TGGGCGGGACTGGGGGGGACTGGGGGGGAGCTGGGGACACCTGGGGACATGTGGGGCACACCTGGGGACACCTGAGGCACACCTGGGGGGGACCTGGGGACATCTGGGGACACCTGGGACACACCTGGGGACACTTGGGCAGAACTGGGCGGGACTGGGGAACACCTGGGGGCTGTTGGAGAACACCTGGCACACCTGGGCACACCTGGGCACACCTGGGGACATCTGGGGGGAATTGGGACACAACTGGGGGGAAACTGGGGGGGACTGGGGACATCTGGGAAACACCTGGGGAACACCTGGGGACACCTGGGGGCACCTGGGGAACACCTGGGGGCATCTGGGGACACCTAGGGATACCTGGGACACACCTGGGGACACCTGGACACACCTGGGGACACACTGGGGACACCTGGACACACCTGGGGACATCTGGGCACACCTGGGGACATCTGGGGACACATGTGAGGGAGTTTGGGGACACCTGGGACACACCTGAGGTCACCTGGGGACACACGTGAGGGAGTTTGGGGGCACCTGGGGACAGCTGGACACACCTGGGGACACCTGGGGACACACGTGAGGGAGTTTGGGGGCACCTGGGGACACCTGGAAACACACCTGGGGACACCTGGGGACACACGTGAGGGAGTTTGGGGGCACCTGGGGACACCTGGAAACACACCTGGGACACACCTAGGAGACCCGGCCACACCTGGGGACATCAGGGCACACCTGGGGACACCACAGGGGCTTTTGGGGACATTTGGGGGCACTGGACCAGCAGCTCCCACAGCGCCGAGCGTGACAGGTACCGGGAACACCTGGGGACACACCTGGGGGGACACCTGGGACACACCTGGGGCCACCCTGGGGGCCTTTGGGGTCCCACCGCGGTGGTGCCCGAAATCCCACCAGGAACTCCCCAAATCCCCCTGGAATCTCCCTCAAATCCCGGAAAATCTCCCCAAAATTCCTCTCAAATCCCCCCCAAATCCCCCCCAAATCCCCCCAAATCCCCCCTAAATCTCCTCAAATCCCCTCAAATTCTCCAAAATCCCCTCAAATCCCCCCCAAACCTCCTCAAATCCCCCCCAAATCCCC